CTGTGTGGAGCAGCGTCTATCTACCTTCCTGCATCCAGTATTTCCCCACCCCACCACTGTGTGGAGCAGCGTCTATCTACCTTCCTGCACCCAGTATTTCCCCACCCCACCACTGTGTGGAGCAGCGTCTATCTACCTTCCTGCACCAAGTATTTCCCCACCCCACCACTGTGTGGAGCAGCGTCTATCTACCTTCCTGCACCAAGTATTTCCCCACCACTGTGTGGAGCAGCATCTATCTACCTTCCTGCACCAAGTATTTCCCCACCCCACCACTGTGTGGAGCAGCATCTATCTACCTTCCTGCACCAAGTATTTCCCCACCCCACCACTGTGTGGAGCAGCATCTATCTACCTTCCTGCATCCAGTATTTCCCCACCCCACCACTGTGTGGAGCAGCATCTATCTACCTTCCTGCACCAAGTATTTCCCCACCCCACCACTGTGTGGAGCAGCATCTATCTACCTTCCTGCACCAAGTATTTCCCCACCCCACCACTGTGTGGAGCAGCATCTATCTACCTTCCTGCACCAAGTATTTCCCCACCCCACCACTGTGTGGAGCAGCGTCTATCTACCTTCCTGCACCACACTTCAGTGATCACAACACCAGATAACACCAGATAACACCAGATATTGTATTGTATGAGTATGATATATAGTTTTATTAATAGGTATCTGAAAGAAATTCTTTCTTAATTGTAATCTTCCTATATTAGTTTCAAAACGAAAGCTTAGCACAGATAGTTTGATCAATGCTTTTTGTTTTATATGAATAAATTGTTCAAAGAAACCAATCATGATATACCATCACCAAACAAGAAATTTCATGTGCACTTTTAGCATTCCTGTTTCCCTTCTGTTTGCCATGGAATCAATAGACAGTTGATGGCTGTGGGGGTCAATGTGACCTCGTCATGAGTGTGGGAGTGCTGCCAACAGTCTGCAAGTGTTGGCACCATCTCGAAGATCAAACACAACATGAATGAACACGGACCCTGATCTCAGTATCACCAACCACTGTGGAAATGTCATGGTATATCATTTCATCCCTCGAGACATCAACACAATTAAATCTGGCACTGGAATTGCCAATGAGTCTGGCGACATAAAATATCTACATTCCTTATGCAAATCAGGCATTTTTTAAAGGAAAGGTGCCACCTTATGTATATATATATGTGTAAACATGTACTCTTTGTGTGCGTGCGTGCGTGCGTGCGAGATATGTGCCAGTACATAGCAATGTTGCCCTGCAGTTATTTCCATCCCACCTTCAAGTACACAACTTTTTACATGAAGTTTTTACGCAGGTTTCGTTGATCTCTGTTGACTGTCCTGGAGCATAGACCACCTTATCTCTGTCAACTGTCCTGGAGCATAGACCACCTTATCTCTGTCAACTGTCCTGGAGCATAGACCACCTTATCTCTGTTGACTGTACTGGAACATAGACCACCTTATCTCTGTTGACTGTCCTGGAACATAGACCACCTTATCTCTGTTGACTGTACTGGAACATAGACCACCTTATCTCTGTTGACTGTCCTGGAACATAGACCACCTTATCTCTGTCAACTGTCCTGGAATACAGACCACCTTATCTCTGTTGACTGTCCTTGAACATAGACCACCTTATCTCTGTTGATTGTCCTGGAATACAGACCACCTTATCTCTGTTGACTGTCCTTGAACATAGACCACCTTATCTCTGTTGATTGTCCTGGAATACAGACCACCTTATCTCTGTTGACTGTCCTTGAACATAGACCACCTTATCTCTGTCAACTGTCCTGGAATACAGACCACCTTATCTCTGTTGACTGTGCTGGAACATAGACCACCTTATCTCTGTTGATTGTCCTGGAATACAGACCACCTTATCTCTGTTGACTGTCCTTGAACATAGACCACCTTATCTCTGTCAACTGTCCTGGAATACAGACCACCTTATCTCTGTTGACTGTGCTGGAACATAGACCACCTTATCTCTGTCAACTGTATTGTTACATCCTTACTGAAAACAGAACTATTCATGATTTCCTGTTTGTTCAGACTACTTATAAACATTGCTGAAACAATAGAAGACAATAGGAAAGACATTGATCAATTGTTTCAGATACAGCTTGTCCTGGGGAGATATCTGGCAACTTGTGGGCAACATGGTGCTGTACCTCTGCAACCCTCACAGGCAGTCAAATACCTCTGCTGATCATCACCTCCCTGACCTCACAACACTGCCTGTTCAAGCCTGCTCTGGGCTGTCAGTGGAAGCAGCTTGACTGTAGAGCATCCTGCTACATTCCTTGCCTAATGAGTTTGGATAAATGTGCCAAATTCTGGCAGTTATGCTAACACCACCAGAAAACATACAGCTGCCATTTTTGAATAAAAAAATGCCATGCCCACCCTTAGCTATTTCTTCCAACACCTGATTCTCCTAAACACAATCAGATGCAGCTAGGACCCTGTGAAGGATCAGCATCAACAAAGTTTAACCTGGGATGATGACACTGACGTAGTGCTCTAGCAGAGAAGACAACATAAAATCACATATGATCTTGATATGATCAAGTGAACATATTCAACAATAGACCAAATCTCCAACACACCTGTGGTGCTCTTTGATCACAGCCAGCACCATAACTCAACTAGCAACTATTCCTGCAAGTTTCCCTACAGGTCTGTAGATATCAGGCAAAACACACATCAACGCATACTGCTTACAACACAACCTTGTCACAATCATCAGTCTTCACCCCTCACTATTCTCATGACAGAATTGACATCACTGAACCCTTTCTGCACATAATGCATAGCCTCCTACAAGAAATGTTCCAACCATTCTGTCTCTAGTACCCACACTGTTACCAACCTGCACGAACCCGATACCAACTACAACTACTGTTTTCACAAGCACTTCAATTCCTATTGGGCTTGATGATCCCCCTAGTGACCCCATAATGAGCCTGAGGTCCCCTGACCCACTGACTGCCCTCATGACCCCATCACAACCCCACCAGCTGCATATGTATCACCACTTCTCCATACCTACCTACTTACTGCTTGTAGCTTGGAGATCTCAATGGGTAATCAGCTTAGGGCTGAATCAAAATATTCTCAATCTCAGTAAAAATCCAAACTGAAATCAACACTTCACATTTAAAAAACAAAACATTTTCCACTTTTATCAAAACTGTTGCAAGTGACACAATGTAGCATAAAGTTATACTTATGATATTCATCAACAGCCCGCAGGCTTCCTGGTCCTGCATAATGCAAGCATGATATTCACCAGGCTGACTCTGTCATGTATCCTTTTTGACAGGCCCTTGTCTAGTTCACCCTCACCACAAGCTGAATATTCCCAAACCCCTGCCCAGTAAGTCACTGCCACACACAATCTGCAGACACAAGTTTGTTTCTAATGACAGATACTCCATGTGATATGAAAAATAATTTCTGGGGTAATTACTTCTATAATATATCAATACCTGATCTCCTTGGTTCTCCACACAAGTTCCAGATTCTAGCCACGCTCAGTGCCTACTTCTGATCAGACCATACATCTAGGTTCTAGCCATGCCCATCTCCTAGATCGGACCATACATCTAGGTTCTAGCCATGCCCATCTCCTAGATCTGACCATACATCTAGGTTCTAGCAATGCCCATCTCCTCGATCTGACCATACATCTAGGTTCTAGCCATGCCCATCACCTAGATCTGACCAGACATCTAGGTTCTAGCCATGCCCATCTCCTAGATCTGATCTGAACATACTACTAAAGTCTAGCCAGGACCATCTCCTAGATCTGATCTGATAAATCTGACAATGGTTCTAGAGTCTAGCCAGGACCATATCCTAGATCTGATCTTATAAATCTGACAATAGTTCTAGAGTCTAGCCAGGACCATATCCTAGATCTGATCTGATAAATCTGACAATAGTTCTAGAGTCTAGCCAGGACCATATCCTAGATCTGATCTGATAAATCTGACAATAGTTCTAGAGTCTAGCCAGGACCATATCCTAGATCTGATCTGATAAATCTGACAATAGTTCTAGAGTCTAGCCAGGACCATATCCTAGATCTGATCTGATAAATCTGACAAGAGTTCTAGAGTCTATCCAGGACCATGTCCTAGATCTGATCTGATAAATCTGACAATAGTTCTAGAGTCTAGCCAGGACCATATCCTAGATCTGATCTGATAAATCTGACAATAGTTCTAGAGTCTAGCCAGGACCATATCCTAGATCTGATCTGATAAATCTGACAATAGTTCTAGAGTCTAGCCAGGACCGTATCCTAGATCTGATCTGATAAATCTGACAAGAGTTCTAGAGTCTAGCCAGGACCATGTCCTAGATCTGATCTGATAAATCTGACAAGAGTTCTAGAGTCTAGCCAGGACCATCTCCTAGATCTGATCTGATAAATCTGACAAGAGTTCTAGAGTCTAGCCAGGACCATATCCTAGATCTGATCTGATAAATCTGACAATAGTTCTAGAGTCTAGCCAGGACCATATCCTAGATCTGATCTAATAAATCTGACAATAGTTCTAGAGTCTAGCCAGGACCATATCCTAGATCTGATCTGATAAATCTGACAAGAGTTCTAGAGTCTAGCCAGGACTATGTCCTAGATCTGATCTGATAAATCTGACAATAGTTCTAGAGTCTAGCCAGGACAATATCCTAGATCTGATCTGATAAATCTGACAATAGTTCTAGAGTCTAGCCAGGACCATATCCTAGATATGATCTGATAAATCTGACAATGGTTCTAGAGTCTATCCAGGACCATATCCTAGATCTGATCTGATAAATCTGACAATAGTTCTAGAGTCTAGCCATACCCATCTCCTAGATCTGATCTGATAAATCTGACAAGAGTTCTAGAGTCTAGCCAGGACCATATCCTAGATCTGATCTGATAAATCTGACAATAGTTCTAGAGTCTAGCCAGGACTATGTCCTAGATCTGATCTGATAAATCTGACAATAGTTCTAGAGTCTAGCCAGGACCATATCCTAGATCTGATCTGATAAATCTGACAAGAGTTCTAGAGTCTAGCCAGGACCATATCCTAGATCTGATCTGATAAATCTGACAATAGTTCTAGAGTCTAGCCATGTCCATCACCAGCCATCAGACAGATTGATATTTCTGGTAATAGACTAAAGGAGTAGTGATCACTCATGATTGACAACTTTTAGTTTTTATGATTTTTAACATAAAAGACTTTCTAAGGGTATGTCTGGTGAGATCACATAAAATGATTTTCAAATGAAATTTCGTAGATCATACACATCTTGAGAGCCTTTTCTCTTGCAGGAATTATCACACGACAATGATTTTTCATTCACTTAAAACATTTTGTGACGGATTTGAATGACAAACCGGATGCTGCTGACATGGAAATAGTCTGTTTTCAGTTAGACCATGACTTACAAATTCAAAAATTACATTTTTTATACATCTTCATGATGTCAGGTTAGAAGGAAGGCATTTTTCATACTTTAAGTATCTCATTTTTCATGACATTTTAAATTTGTTTTTATCATAATGCTTACAAGTATTTGGTTAAGTAAGTTCATTGAAAGCTCCATGTATAAAAAAACAAGAGCTTTAGATTGATGCACTTGTAATATTAAATGCTAAGTGTTTAAAGGAAGACTTGTTCTGAATTCTGGATGATCACTGTTATGTTTGTTTCTGCCCATAGAAAAGTTGAATCTAGCTTTTCATGCAACATAATTGTGTTTAATGACAGCATCATGCAGCAAGAGTTACGATATAGTGGGAATCATACAATGGGCTCTTCTTTTAGTTCTTATGATTATGGAAATATTCTAAAGACCTGTTACATTAATTTTGTTGTGTCACTCAATCATAATCATAAACACAATGTGGCAAATACACCCGGGTTACCATTTCATTTGCTTTTACTATGCGTTACAAAGATCTACTAGACTTGGGCTAACATGACAGCGCAGCTGTCGGACCTGCCACACCCCACCCATTGACGTACACACTGAAACAGATGTCACTATTCAAAGATTACTGAACTTAGAACAACAATAACTATACATGAATGCCTTGCAAACATTTGCTTGGTGCATCATATTTGTATTTCTGTAATAATGGACAATATTTACTAATTTCTCAAGTTCTTGACTTGGGATTAAATGGCTGTTGGGTGAGCTGAAATCTGTAAATAAATCCGAGAGACTGATAGACCCCTGTGACAAACTTCACCAGGTCATACTGACCTGTACTGCTGGTGATCTCCGTCAAATGTCATCTGATCGATCCACATGGAGATCCTCACAAGAAGGCAGGTACTTTCAGCTGATACACAGGGAAGCTCTAGTATAGTACGCACATGTGCTTATGTCAAAAGTCCAGTTATTCCAATCAGTCAAGCTAAAGATTGTTTGCAGGGGTAAATTATTTTTTCTTGTCCCTTCTTTGACCCTCTTACAGCCTAAAGGCATATAATATGAGCAGGATGTCTTGACAAACATTTCGTACAGTTGGACTGAGTCACATTTGTTGGCCATATACATGCCTGCAGCAGAGAGCTCATCCCCCGACACACAGTGTTTACACAGGTTTCAATACACCATGTTTTCTCAATGAAACAAATGCCACGTTTTTATGTGGCACATTACTGTTAAGTCACTCAAATATCCAAGGCAAATGATCTTACTTTGGCAAGACACAAATCAGCAGTTGTAGTAATTCAAAAAACATTCAGAAAACAGATTTGGTTTGTTCACGTTTTGACTTAAATATTCTATCTTTTATAGGAAGTTAACATAATCTTTAAAAAAAGGTTTCTGTACATATTATTTACCTATCTGAGATCTCTTCCTGCTAAGTGTTTCCTGCCAACAGACAGACCAGTTCACCCTTCGCTCTACCTGATCAGTCCATCCCTACCTGATCAGTCCACCCCTACCTTATCAGTCCACCCTTTACTTTACCTTATCAGTCCATCCCTACCTTATCAGTCCACCCTTTACTCTACCTTATCAGTCCAGCCTTTACCTGACTAGTTCACCCTTCACTCTACCTCATCAGTCCACCCTTCACTCTACCTGATCAGTCCATCCCTACCTGATCAGTCCACCCCTACCTTATCAGTCCACCCTTTACTTTACCTTATCAGTCCATCCCTACCTTATCAGTCCAGCCTTTACTCTACCTTATCAGTCCAGCCTTTACCTGACTAGTTCACCCTTCACTCTACCTCATCAGTCCACCCTTCACTCTACCTGATCAGTCCATCCCTACCTTATCAGTCCACCCTTTACCTGACCAGTCCACCCTTCACTCTACCTGTTCAGTCCATCCCTACCTTATCAGTCCACCCCTACCTTATCAGTCCACCCTTTACCTGACCAGTCCACCCTTTACTCTACCTGATCAGTCCATCCCTACCTGATCAGTCCATCCCTACCTCATCAGTCCACCCTTTACCTGATCAGTCCACCCTTCACTCTACCTGACCAGTCCACCCTTCACTCTACCTGATCAGTCCACCCTTCACTCTACCTGATCAGTCCACCCTTCACTCTACCTGATCAGTCCACCCTTTACTCTACCTGATCAGTCCACCCTTCACTCTACCTGATCAGTCCACCCTTCACTCTACCTGACCAGTCCACCCTTCACTCTACCTGATCAGTCCATCCCTACCTTATCAGTCCACCCTTTACTTTACCTTATCAGTCCATCCCTACCTTATCAGTCCAGCCTTTACTCTACCTTATCAGTCCAGCCTTTACCTGACTAGTTCACCCTTCACTCTACCTCATCAGTCCACCCTTCACTCTACCTGATCAGTCCATCCCTACCTTATCAGTCCACCCTTTACCTGACCAGTCCACCCTTCACTCTACCTGTTCAGTCCATCCCTACCTTATCAGTCCACCCCTACCTTATCAGTCCACCCTTTACCTGACCAGTCCACCCTTTACTCTACCTGATCAGTCCATCCCTACCTGATCAGTCCATCCCTACCTCATCAGTCCACCCTTTACCTGATCAGTCCACCCTTCACTCTACCCGATCAGTCCATCCTTCACTCTACCTGATCAGTCCACCCTTCACTCTACCTGATCAGTCCACCCTTCACTCTACCTGATCAGTCCACCCTTTACTCTACCTTATCAGTCCACCCTTCACTCTACCTGATCAGTCCACCCTTCACTCTACCTGATCAGTCCACCCTTTACTCTACCTTATCAGTCCACCCTTCACTCTACCTCATCAGTCCATCCTTCACTCTACCTGATCAGTCCACCCTTCACTCTACCTGATCAGTCCACCCTTCACTCTACCTGATCAGTCCATCCTTCACTCTACCTGATCAGTCCATCCTTCACTCTACCTGATCAGTCCACCCTTCACTCTACCTGATCAGTCCATCCTTCACTCTACCTGATCAGTCCACCCTTCACTCTACCTGATCAGTCCACCCTTCACTCTACCTGATCAGTCCACCCTTCACTCTACCTGATCAGTCCACCCTTCACTCTACCTGATCAGTCCACCCTTTACTCTACCTTATCAGTCCACCCTTCACTCTACCTCATCAGTCCATCCTTCACTCTACCTGATCAGTCCACCCTTCACTCTACCTGATCAGTCCACCCTTCACTCTACCTGATCAGTCCATCCTTCACTCTACCTGATCAGTCCATCCTTCACTCTACCTGATCAGTCCACCCTTCACTCTACCTGATCAGTCCATCCTTCACTCTACCTGATCAGTCCACCCTTCACTCTACCTGATCAGTTCACCCTTCACTCTACCTGATCAGTCCACCCTTCACTCTACCTGACCAGTCCATCCCTACCTCATCAGTCCACCCTTTACCTGATCAGTCCACCCTTCACTCTACCTGATCAGTCCACCCTTCACTCTACCTGATCAGTCCACCCTTCACTCTACCTGATCAGTCCACCCTTCACTCTACCTGATCAGTCCACCCTTCACTCTACCTGATCAGTCCACCCTTCACTCTACCTGATCAGTCCACCCTTCACTCTACCTGATCAGTCCACCCTTCACTCTACCTGATCAGTCCACCCTTCACTCTACCTGATCAGTCCACCCTTCACTCTACCTGATCAGTCCACCCTTCACTCTACCTGATCAGTTCACCCTTCACTCTACCTGATCAGTCCACCCTTCACTCTACCTGATCAGTCCACCCTTCACTCTACCTGATCAGTCCATCCCTACCTCATCAGTCCACCCTTTACCTGATCAGTCCACCCTTCACTCTACCTCATCAGTCCACCCTTCACTCTACCTCATCAGTCCACCCCTACCTTATCAGTCCACCCTTTACTCTACCTTATCAGTCCATCCCTACCTTATCAGTCCACCCTTTGCTCTACCTTATCAGTCCACCCTTTACCTGACTAGTTCACCCTTCACTCTACCTGATCAGTCCACCCTTCACTCTACCTGATCAGTCCACCCTTCACTCTACCTCATCAGTCCACCCTTCACTCTACCTGACCAGTCCACCCTTCACTCTACCTGATCAGTCCACCCTTCACTCTACCTGACCAGTCCACCCTTCACTCTACCTCATCAGTCCACCCTTCACTCTACCTGACCAGTCCACCCTTCACTCTACCTGATCAGTCCACCCTTCACTCTACCTGATCAGTCCACCCTTCACTCTACCTCATCAGTCCACCCTTCACTCTACCTGACCAGTCCACCCTTCACTCTACCTGATCAGTCCACCCTTCACTCTACCTGACCAGTCCACCCTTCACTCTACCTCATCAGTCCACCCTTCACTCTACCTGACCAGTCCACCCTTCACTCTACCTTATCAGTCCACCCTTCACTCTACCTTATCAGTCCACCCTTCACTCTACCTTATCAGTCCACCCTTCACTCTACCTGACCAGTTCACCCTTCACTCTACCTCATCAGTCCACCCTTCACTCTACCTGATCAGTCCACCCTTCACTCTACCTCATCAGTCCACCCTTCACTCTACCTTATCAGTCCACCCTTCACTCTACCTTATCAGTCCACCCTTCACTCTACCTGACCAGTCCACCCTTCACTCTACCTCATCAGTCCACCCTTCACTCTACCTGATCAGTCCACCCTTCACTCTACCTGATCAGTCCACCCTTCACTCTACCTCATCAGTCCACCCTTCACTCTACCTGATCAGTCCACCCTTCACTCTACCTCATCAGTCCACCCTTCACTCTACCTGATCAGTCCACCCTTCACTCTACCTGATCAGTTCACCCTTCACTCTACCTGATCAGTTCACCCTTCACTCTACCTGATCAGTCCACCCTTCACTCTACCTGATCAGTCCACCCTTCACTCTACCTGATCAGTCCACCCTTCACTCTACCTTATCAGTCCACCCTTCACTCTACCTCATCAGTCCACCCTTCACTCTACCTGATCAGTCCACCCTTCACTCTACCTTATCAGTCCACCTCTACCTTATCAGTCCACCCTCTACCTCATCAGTCCACCCTTTACTCTACCTTATCAGTCCAGCCTCTGCCTGATCAGTCCACCCTTTACACTACCCTAACATGGCATCCTGGTATTGCAGGATGGGTGGATGGGTTGGTCCTACAGCTGCAACACCAGCTCATGATTTATTCAGAAAATCTTTTGTCATAATAACCTGCAACTGCAGATAAGATGCTTATTTTTAATCCAAATGTTAATAAGTTACTCAATTCATTGTCACAGTGGTCAGCCAAGCAGAAATCACAAATGTAGCTGAAAGGCATGTTGGTGCCTATTACTAGATGTCCAGTGGAGTGAACTACTTCATCAGCAGACTTGCTTAGGCAGAAAAAGACAATTTGATAAACAACTTTTGCAAATATTGAAATCACATTAGTGGTAATTTTTAAAAAAGGACTGCAGCATTAAAAGACTTAATCAGGCTATGCAGATAGAGCATGCCACTGCAGTTCTCACAGTAAAAGGAAGGTCTTGTTCCCTTTATAATTGGCTGAAGGGAAGTTGTCTGGATTCTGTCAGAAGGGGGATTATCTGAAGTGTATTGAAGCAGTAGACAACTGCAAATATATCCATCATCAAAGGCTGAGTGTTTGGCTTTACTACACTGGAGGCTTCTCTGCTCATCTCACATACATGTGGACCTGATTGCCAAACAACTCACTGTAATGCCCCACCAAGCTCATCATAGGAATTACACTAACAATTCTCCATGGAAACCTCTTGAAAAGTTACACATAGACATAAGAGCTTTGGGAAATTGTTTCCAACCAAATCAATAGCTGTCTTCCAACATAAACACAATATGGATGTACACTTGTGCTCTAATGGATGCAAATGCTTAGAGATTGGCACCCCACTTGTCAATATCACACTTAGTTGTGTATCAATCAGAATGCATCACAACAGCAGAACATGCCATTACAGTCCTTCCAGTTGAAATGGACCTTCAACTATCTGTTAATCACGATGGCCAATCATGTACAGCACTAACATGAAAGGCACAGCAGATCAATTCTGAAGTTGGTGCTGGCTGGGTAGGTGTCCACCTACACCCACATGGTGACAGCTCAGGGCTCCCAGACCAACGATTGATCCTTGTCATTTTACACTCTACTTTCACAACACAGTTACAATAGGTAACACAACTGTGACTAAGATCTTCCAGCTGATATCTGAGGTCGAGCTGATGTATCTGTTCTCCTGCCTCGATCCGCTTCCTCACAGGAACCAGGTGTTCACAGAAACTGCTCACACCGGATAATCTGTTTATGGAGATTCCACCAGAATATTATAACGAAAATGTTAGTTTCAATTTCATAAGCAAGTTATTCTATATCTATCAGATATTACACCACATGAACAGTAAGGAAGAAAAGTGAAGGATGCTAACACAACATTTCAGAGTATATACTTACTCCATCATCAGGTCTTCCTTATGAGTATCACTTAATGAAAAGTGTCGAGTCTGTTCTGACTGAACAATGGAGCACTAAATGTTGGATGATGGTATCATTCCCCAAACCATATAACATGTACTAGGAAACTTTTCTTTATTTTTCTTTGAAAAAAAAAGCATATATAAATGCTAGAAACAATATCACTACCAGAATGTGCCCTTGAGTCTGGTTTTGCCTCAGTACTGATGCTGGTTCTATGGCTGTGATGTATATCCTACAGCTACACAAACACACACAGATACATCATGTTTGGGTTGCCTAACACCGGAAATAGCATACATTTATTTTTATCTGCCATCTAGAATCAAAGTATAAGTATGAGACATTATCGGAGGCTGAGTCACGAGGCTTGTTGGGGAGGAGAGAGAGAGAGGGCTTCCAGATGAGTCCTGCTGCCTATACAGGAGTGCACCCAGTAGGCTGTGTGTACATCTCAGATTACATACGCTGCTTGGCAGTCATGCTCATTATTCACACAAGTATGAACTTTTCTCTTGACATTAATGAACTCACAACAAAAATAAATATCTATCACTACTAATACTTATCTAAGCCATGAACAAAATGTTAAATGTCTTGAGACAAACACTCGTTTAACAGAATAAATTCATTACATTAAATATGATATACCGTATTCAACGTAATAAGCGCCCAGGGCGCTCTCAAAATTAGAAATAGGGGGCGCTTATTAGAATATTATTTTGAGTTGAAAGATTGTAAATTTCGTTGTTTATGCCAACAGCCTGAAGTGTTTACATACGAAAGATATATTTTTCAAGAATTTAATTGCCCATAATTAACACACGAGTGCGTATTACACACGAATAAATACGTCCTGTGTACATTGATCAATCGGAAGGAGTGCTGATTGGGATTGTTTACTAGCCAATATATTAGCAAATATCGCCGTGGGCGCTTATTAGAGCGGGGCGCTTATTACGTCGAATACGGTAAGACAGTTAGTCTGTCATGGGTAACTCGGGTACTCGGGGCGGGTGGGTCCTGAGTAAGAACCGGATACCCACAGGACTACCAGGACCCGTGGTTATATTCACGTGATATATTGTTTAATAATAAAATATCACTATATCTCAATGGTTACACTAAAATGTTCGCATTTCTTTCTGACTATGCACACTTTCTTTCTGATTTTTTATGTCTGAATAAAATTTAGCTTCAGTCAACTTCATTGTATGCATGACCAGATCATTTTATATGTGTATCTAAATAGTTTTTGCCATGCTCCAGTAAAACAATTCCCAATCGGACATTTTGCACCTAACTTTTGAGACCTATAGTGGGTACCTGGTTACAGGATATTGTATATATAGTTTTTAGGAATATAGTTTTAGCTTTTTTCATCTCAAGTAGTTGTATATATCTTCAAAATGTATATGCTTGGGTTGAGAGTCCAAGCGGTTGGTCCAATTTTATTGAAGGGTGGACAGGTTAGTCTATTCCTGTCCTTTTGTCACAAACTCTCTTGCTTGTCAATACAATAGCTTTCAGCTTCCTAGCTGATTAACATTATCTAACTACAGCTTTCCTCCCTAACATTTGCACACTTTTTATTCACTCTGCTTATAACTCTGCACAGACAAGACATGGACTACATATAGCTCAGGTTAGTTAGTTACATTATCTTTCCTAAATAGAATTCTAACTTATCATTTAAATATGTTATCAATAATGTAAAACGTTGTAAATGATATCAAATAATCAAGATATCTTCTATTTTATCAGTATAAAGTGTTTAACATGTAAGTATGTGTGAGAGCAAGATTTGATTGGGAGTTTTGAATGTAAGGTTTGAATTAGAAGTTGGTTTTCTATAATTTAAGGAAATGGTTGTCATGATGTATGTATGTATGTATGTATGTATGTATGTATGTATGTATGTATGTATATATTCAGGCATGATAGTTATTTACTTTTTATAGGAATGCCATAATCCTATATGATGTGGGTTTATAGACACACCCCGGTGTGTCACCCACAGGGTATGTACAAATCCTTTATTTTATCACTCACTTATGAATGAGTTTATATGTATTAACTATGTGTTAGAACTTAACACAACATGGTAGCATTTTATATATATTCCTACTCTTAGAGATAATAAGTATATATTTATGACGCCACACGGCTACTAGTATTCTTCTCACTATATAGTGTGTAACTGATATATTCAGTTATGATAAGAGACATTTAATATATGTACTGTATTCGACGTAATAAGCGCCCCGCTCTAATAAGCGCCCATGGCGATATTCTACAATATATTGGCTAGCAAACAATCCCAATTAGCACCCTTCCGACTGATCAATGTACACAATTCGTGTACATTTCTTCGTGTATAATACGCACTCGCGTGTTATATGCAACCTTAATTACGGGCAATTAAATTCTGTAAAATATATATGTCGTGTACAATATGCACATACTTTTCTTTTGTATCATTTAAGGCTGTCAGCAGAAACCATAAAATTTACGATCTTTCGACTCTTTCAACAAAATTATATTCTAATAAGAGCCTCTTATTTCTAATTTTAAGAGCGCCCCGGGCGCTTATTACGTCGAATACGGTATTACTATTTGAATATAAG